CTCAACAAGCTGCTGGGTGGAGTCACCATTGCACAGGGTGGTGTTCTCCCCAACATCCAGGCTGTCCTGCTGCCCAAGAAGACCGAGAAAGCAGCGAAGGCCAAGTAAACCTTTACAACTAAAAAACTACAAACCCAACGGCTCTTTTAAGAGCCACCCACATCTATCTGAAGAGCAAAGTCCTCAGCTGCATCTACAGACCATAACATATGCACATGATGTATAATACAAAATTAGAAATTCTTTATTTCTGCCAACATTAGAAATATGCTTTAAAGTTTTTTTTTTTTTTTTTTTTATTTTAGGTAGTGGGACACACAGTACGAAATAACTCCTGAAAATTAGAACTATTCCCAAAATATCCTGAAATTAAATATTGTAAAACACTGAATATACAAGAACTGTATAGCTTTCTGAATTTTGTCAAAATTTAATGACAATGCTTTGTCTAAAACCCACCTGATTGGGTTAATGGAACGGTTCTCACACAAGTGTGACAGAACCCAAGTAAATCAAATATGTTAAATCCATTAATTGGACCAGAGAGTAGCAAAATAATTTTTAGATAGAAAATACAGCCCAAAGAGATTTAAAATTATACATGAGGGGAGGGGGGGCGACTCAAATTAGGATTGTTTTTTTGAAAAAGTTGTATATTTAACCGTCAAACCTGATGGTACATAAGAAATGTACATAGCTAGACATGTGAATTATTTATTCACAAAATGCTAGTTAGCGATTTTATTTGGACATTGTAATTATTAGTTTGATTAGTTATTACGCATTATCTGTTTTTATTTTTGTAATATTTATTGAGAGGAAATGTGTCTGCTCTTTGGTGGAAACTTGAGGCGCAAGTAGAAGTCTGGCGGCTTGACTGTCTTCACTTACGTCCGTGACACCAATTTAAATCCAGACGTGCAAGCCCTCTTCAGTTAGTGTCGTCATACAACTGAAGCACAATGAGTGGCCGCGGAAAAGGAGGTAAAGGACTCGGGAAAGGAGGCGCCAAGCGTCACCGTAAAGTCCTCCGTGATAACATCCAGGGAATCACCAAGCCCGCTATTCGTCGCCTGGCTCGCCGCGGTGGAGTCAAGCGTATCTCCGGTCTCATCTACGAGGAGACCCGCGGTGTGCTCAAGGTCTTCCTGGAGAACGTCATCCGTGATGCCGTCACCTACACCGAGCACGCCAAGAGGAAGACCGTGACCGCCATGGATGTAGTGTACGCTCTCAAGAGGCAGGGCCGCACTCTGTACGGCTTCGGCGGTTAAATCTACCAGCTCTTTACTAAAAACCAACGGCTCTTTTCAGAGCCACCCACACTTCTCAAGAGACGTCTCCTGAATTTTAATGTTCAGTATTTAGCTACACAACACTTCCTCTTTTTAACATTGATTTACTAGATGTAAATGCTTTGTGTTGCTATTACTCTTAACCCCACATTAAGTCTAGAAAATTATATTACCTGGAATTAACATTTATAATGTATAATTATGGGGATTGTTGGCTGTTTAGAGAAACGTCACCCTGGGCTGGTAAAATGCCCAACATTTACACTCAAGTAAAAGAAGCCCTACTTCAACTTAATCTTATGCAGGTAAAAGATAAGTTACTGAAGTAAGAAAAGGAGTATTTAATAAAAAGGCCACTTATGTACTTAACTGATCAGAACATTTGATTTATTTTTGAAATTATCAGACAAAATACATTGATTTTTAAAATATATGTTAAAGATTAAAACAGAATAGCTGCAAATAAGTTTATATAGCCAAGTGAAAACTATGTGGTAGATACATCCAAAATTATTTTTCTCCAAAAAGTCACTCAAGAAAATGTAACTGGGTAAATTTAATTACCCACCTCTACCATCATCTGGGACATTCCTAAAATAAAATGTGGGAAAATGGGAACTATTCAATGAATATTTATGTAAAAACATATATTAAAATGTAATTCAGGTATCATAAGGTTTTGGAATTGCTTACTAGTTTATAAATTATGGACTACTTATTCTTATTAAACATGGGGAACAAATATTTAATTTTGTACTTTACCTTTTGTCTTTCTTTTGGCTTTGTTGTTTTGTTTGTATTTAATTCTAATTCATTTAAGCACTTTGGACTGTAGCAGAAAATGTACTATATAAATAAAATTACCTTACCTTACCTAATATGTAAGTATGCCAAAAGAAAACTTTGATAATTTTTTTAATATGTGAAAATATTTACAACATGATCTTTGCTTGAAATCTAAAAATATCTATGTAAAGGAAAACCAACGCAGTGCTCTAGAGAGCGCTGACAGCACAAAGACAGTATAACCTTCCGATGAGCTCAGCCAATCAGAGGCAGGCGTCGGCGCACTCTGATTTACATGCAGCCTCTATAATACTAATCTCTGCTCGCGCTTCCTCATTTGTTGCTGTTTCCCAGGAACACATCAGGATGCCTGAACCCGCCAAGTCTGCGCCCAAGAAGGGCTCCAAGAAAGCCGTCAC